AAGAATTGTCTTTAATTTTTAATTCTTCTCTATTTTGTCTCTTTCTACTGTATTGATTTCTGCTCTTTATTATTTTGTTTGTTTTACTACTAAGACTTTGTTCTACCCATCTTTTTCTAGCATTGTAAAGATTATTATATCTTTCTTCTCTTCTAACATAAACATTTAAAATCATCATATCAGTTAAATCAGTACTTTAGTTACATCATACAACTTTTTGGTGTGTTGAATTTTCATTATCATTCAAATAAGAATTATTTATACTTCTCTTGTGATTTCTTCTTTGATCTATGTGTTTATAGAAATTTAATGTTTTATTTCTAAATATTTATGACTTTTCTAGATACCTTATTGTTCTTGATTTATTATTTAAATTATTTGTGATCAGAGAACATACTCTATAAGATGTAAATAAATTTGAATTAAGCTGAGGCCTTTTATAAGCCCAACCTATGGTCTTTTCTAGTGAATATCTCATGTTTCCTGAGAATGAATGTGCATTCTGCATTAGAGGCAGCATTGTACAAATGTAATGTAGTCAAGATGATTAACAATGATCCAATTTTTAAAATTCTTACTAATTATTTTGTCCTGTTGTTCTGTCAATTACTAAGAAAAGAATGTTATAAATCTCAGCTAGCACTGTGCATTTGTCTCTTTCGCTCTTTAGTTCTCTAAGTTTTAACTTCATGTATTTTGAGGTAAAATTAAGCCAATACACATTTTAAATTGTTATGCCTTTCTGATGAATTGACTCATATTATCATGAAATGTTATGCTTTATCTCTAATAAAACTCCATGTCTCAAAGTTTATTTTGTCTGATATTAATATAGGCACTCCAGCTGTCATATGAGTAATATTTGCATGATAAAGCATTTTTCATCATTTTATATGCAACTTATTTGTGTTTTGTATTAAAGTGCATCTTTTATAGCCAGTATAGAGAGGTAAAACTTCCTTTTTGAGAATTTTTAAATTGATCTTATCAATTTATGGTTTTTATTGATATATGCAGTCTTTTCAGTTTAATGTAATTATTGATATGGTTGGTCTTAAGTCTGCTATTGTGCTGTTTCTTTTATATTTCATGTATATTTATTACTCATTTCCTGCATTTTTGAGGGAGTAATAGAATATTTTAGCATTGTATTTTGTTTCCTCCAGTGATGTTTTAGCAATACTTTACATTTATATAAAATATATAAATTTGGTGGTTAAATTTTGGCAGTATATAATCTACGTAGCATTAGTAATATATTTTTTAATATAAAGCACAATTATCTTCAATCAGTACAGATTTATCTACCCCCTCATTCTTTAGTATTTTATTTATACTAACTGTACCTGTGTTAAAATATCACATACAATATTATAATCTTATAAATGGCAAATTATCATACGTATTTTTAAGAGAAAAGAATATATGTATAGTCCATCTTGATTTTTCATGGTTTCTGCATTTGCAAATTCACCAACCCACTAAAATGTCTCTGTAACCCAAAATCAGTACTCACGGCTCTTTCAGGGTCATTTGCAGACATGAGCACAGAGGTGAATGATGGGAATCACGTGATGCACACGTTCTTATTTGAGCTCAAATGAAGCTGTGCTCTGCTCTGTTACTCCAGCTCTCATACTGAACAAGTGTCCTTTCCACAGTCTATTCAGTACTGTATCTATGGCATTTTTGTGCATATTTTGGTGATTTTGGTGTCTAGAATAGCCCTCAAGTGTTGGGCTCATATTCTATCCACCTCTTAAACACAAGAAGGTTGTGGGAAGACACATGTGTGAAATAAGCTTCATTCAGGCATAAGTTATAATTCTGCTGGCTGAGTTCAATGCTAATGAATCAATGATATATATTAAATAACTTGTCTGGAAGCAGAAACATAGATAAAATAAAATTATATATGAATAAAAATGTGATCAGAGGTTCATAGGAACCTAATCTTGTTTCTTCCCCCAGGAACAATGATTCAGTATTTGCTAATTCAGTGTTCTTGACTATGTTATACAACATAATTACCATGAATAACAAGAAGCCACTATATAGCACATATATTTTATCTGAAAGTACTATATATGTTGATATAGCTATAGTTCCATATCTTTCTATCATCTCTCTATATTTTATATATGCCCACATATTTTCTAATTCTAGAAATCTTCATTTTTTCATTTAGATTCAGGTGTCATTTCTCTTCAGCAAGAAAAACTTTATTCAACGTATCTTGCTGTGCAAGTCTACTGGTAACAAATACACCTGGTTTTTATTCACCTTAAAATGTCTTATTCTTAGCTTTCAATTTTGAATAGTATTTTCATTGCATATAGAATACTGAGTTAACCAGTTTTGTTTTTCAGCAGTATATAAATGTTATACCATGTCTTCTGGCCTTTGTTGTTTCTTTTGAAGTCAACAATTATTCTTGTCATTATTATGCAACGTGCCATTTCTTTTTGCCTATTTTCAAGATTGTGTTGCTATCATTGGTTTTCCAGAGTTTGACTTTTATGTAACTGTATGTAATTTTTTTTTGCATTTATCCTTCTTTGGGTTTGGTGAGATTCTTAGGTCTATAAACTGATCTCTTCCACCAAATTTGGAAATATTTAGGCCATTAATAATTCAAGTACTTCTTCTGTCTCATTCTTTCTTCTCTCTTTTTGGAATTCCATTACATATATGATAAATTGCTTAATGTTGTTCAATAGATCATTAAGATCTATTTTGATCTTAAGATTGATCTATTTGATCTTAAGATCATTAAGGTTCTTTTCGTTTTCCTTCAATCTTACTTTTTCTATACTCTCTGCATAGTTTTTTGATACACATTCAAGCTTACTACTTTTTTTCTACTATTATCTCCAATCTCATTGGAGATAGATAGGTCTATCTTCAATTAGACCCATCCCATATTTTAAAATTTTCAGTTATTGTTCTTTCTCACACTGAATTTTCCCTTTGGCTCTTTATAATAGTTTCTACTTCTCTGCTGACACTCCCATTTGTTCATTTAATTTGCATATATCTCCCTTTAAGTCCTAGAACATATTTATTATGTCTACATGAAGGTTTTATCTGTTTAATTACAAAACTTGCATCATTTTAAGGTTGGTTTCTAATGATCATCTTTTCCTTGATGTGGATCACTTTTTAAATTTATCTTTTATTGAAGTATAATTGCTTTACAATGACGTGTTACTTTCTGCTGTACAATATCGTGAATGAGCTATATGTGTACATGTATCCCCTCTCTCTTAATTCTCTCTCCTACCTTCCCCCATTTCATTTCTTTAGGTCATCACAGAGCACTGAGCTGATCTCAGTGTGCTATACAGTGGATTTCCACTAGCTATTTTACATACGGTAGTATATATATGTCAACGCTCCTCTCTCAACTCATCCCACCCTCTCCTTCCTTCACTGTGTCCACAAGTCCATCTCTTGTGCATCTGCATCTCTGTTCCTTCTCTGAAAAAGGTTCATCAGTACCATTTTCTAGATTTCATACATATGTGTTAATATATTTGTTTTTCTCTTTCTGACTTGTTTTACTCTGTATGACAGACTCTAGGTTCATCTACATCACTACAAATGACCCAATTTTGTTCCTTGTTATCACTGAGTGTGTATATACATATATTGTATATGTATATGTATACATGTATATACATGTATATACACCATTGGGTATATGTACCACATCTTCTTTATCCACTCATTTGTCAATGGACATTTAACTTGCTTCCTTGTCTGGTTATTGTAAATAATGCTGCAACGAACACTGCGATGTATGTTAGGTCACTGTGACATAATAAACATATTTGATCTTTGGCTCCAGTTCCTGGCACAGAGCTCCTAAAGCCCTTAAAATACCCTGAGTAATAAGTGTCTGATATGCTAATGAGATAGAGAAGATAGAAGAAGGCTGAGTGCTGAAGAACTGATGCTTTCGAATTGTGGGGCTGGCAAAGACTCTTGAGAGTCCCTTGGAGTCAATCCTAAAGGAAATCAACTCTGAATATTATTGGAAAGGCTGATGCTGAAGCTCAAGCTCCAACACTTTGGCCACCTGATTCAAAGAACTGACTCATTGGAAAAGACCCTAATGCTGGGGAAGATTAAAGGCAGGAGGAGAAGGGGATGACAAAAGATGAGATGGCTGGATGACATCACTGAATCAAAGGACTGAGTTTGAGCAAACTCTGGGAGTTGGTGATGGACAGGGAGGCCTGGCGTGCTGCAGTCACAGAGAGTCAGACGTGACTGAGTGACTGAACTGAACTGGACTTCTAATTATAACTTCATAAAAACTCCTAAACAGCAGGGTTTGGAAAATTCCCAGGTTGGTGTGAAAGTGCTGAGAGGGTGACATACCCAAAGATACCGTGGAATCTCTGTCCCCCACCCAATAACTTGTCCTTTGTGTCTCTTCCATTTGGCTGTTAGTACATGTACTCAGACACTCAGTTGTATCCAACTCTTTGCGATCCCATGGACTGTAGTCTGCTGGCTCCTCTGTCCATGGGATTCTCCCAGTCAGAATACTGGAGTGGGGTGCCATTTCCTCCTCTACGGGAACTTTCTGACCCAGGGATTGAACCCTCATCTCTTGTGTCTCCTTCATTGGCAGGCAGATTCTTTACCACTAGTGCCACCTTTGAAGCCCTGATTGTGTCCTTTATAATAAACTGGAATTGGTAAGAATAGCACTTCCCTGAGTTCTGTGAGTCATTCTGGTGAATTATCAAATTCATTTATAGCTGGTCAGTCAGAATTATGAGTGCCCCCTGGGACTTATGACTAGCATCTGAACATGGGACAGGTTTGAGAAACTAAGCCCTTAACTTATGACATCTCCTCTAACTATGAAGAGTTAGTATCTAAGAATTGGAGAGTTGGGGTTGGAGAAGACACCACACGTATGGTGTTGGGAGGGAAAAAACCCTCATTCGGTTCAGAAGCTGTATCTGAAAGAACCCAAGACTCACATTTTCCTGTTTCTTCACATGTTTAGTGACACCACACACTATAAGTGGTATGTTTTCAGAAACCCTGACTTCTATTTTGCTCCTCTTAAGGGCAAACTTTGTCCTATAAGGCAGTTGTTTGGTCCAGACTCAAATTCCAATTCTATCTTCTCTGTGTAGAACAGCAGCTGAAATCTCTGCTGACTTTCTCATCCTCTAAATGCTGATTGCATTAGCATCTGGACTCCCTGAGGGTTTCTGGTCTCTCTGAGGGTTCCCCTAAAAATAAGAGCTTTGGTCTACAGCCTAGGGGTGGTTTAGATTTTCCATGTAGACTTGAGGTATAAGTCTGTGTATGGCTCCCTCTCTTCCATGACTTCCTCCACTGGTTTATTCTGCTGCCCACAAACCTGTAAGGCTTTGGCTTTCTGCCACTTGACCCTCACTAAACTTCAAATCCTATGCTTCACAGTCAGTCAGTTCAGTCGCTCAGTTGTGTCTGACTCTTTGCAACCTCATGGACTGCAGCATGCCAGGCTTCCCTGTCCATCACCAACCCCCAGAGCTTACTTAAACTCATGTCCATCGAGTCTGTGATGCCATCCAACCATCTCATCCTGTCGTCCCCTTCTCCTCCTGCCTTCATTGGCCTTCAATCTTTCCAGCATCAGGGTCTTTTCCAACTGAGTCAGTTCTTCATGTCAGGTTGCCAAAGTATTGGAGTTTCAGCTTCAGCTCAGTCCTTCCAATGAATATTCAGGGCTAATTTCCTTTAGAATGGACTAGTTGGATCTCCTTGCAGTCCAAAGGACACTCAAGAGTCTTCTCCAACACCACAGTTCAAAAGCATCAATCCTTCAGCACTCAGCTTTCTTTATAGTCCAACTCTCACATCCACACGTGACCACTGGAAAAACCATAGCCTTGACTAGACGGACATTTGTTGGCAAAGTAATGTCTCAGCTTTTTAATATGCTATCTGGGTTGGTCATAGCTTTTCTTCCAAGGAGCAAGCATCTTTTAATTTCATGGCTGCAGTCACCATCTGCAGTTGTTTTGGAGCCCCTCAAATTAAGTCTCTCACTGTTTCCATTGTTTCCTTGTCTATTTGCCATGAAGTGATGGGATCAGATGCCATGATCTTAGTTTTCTGAATGTTGAGCTTTAAGACAACTTTTCCCCTCTCCTCTTTCACTTTCATCAAGAGGATGTTTAGTTCTTCTTCACTTTCTGCCATAAGGGTGGTGTCAACTGCATGTCTGAGGTTATTGATATTTCTCCTGGCAATCTTGATTCCAGCTGTGCTTCATCCAGCCTGGCATTTTGCATGATGTACTCTGCATAAAAGTTAAATAAGCAGGGTGACAATATACAGCCTTGACGTACTCCTTTCCCTATTTGGAACCAGTCTGTTGTTTCATGTCCAGTTCCAACTGTTGCTTCACAGTTCCTCTTTTAAGGGAAGACTCCCTCTAGTTTCTGTTTGCTGTTGGCCATTCAGTCTTCTCAACCTTCAAACAGTTGTGAGTGTGTTTGTGTTTATTGTTTCCCAGATTTTAAGACTCTTTCTGTGAGAGAGTTAGTTTGACCAAATAAGTCCATCATCACCCATCACTAGCTTGTAATTTGAAAATAAAATATATTCTTGAAAGGAAAAAAAAAACAGTAACATAAATGAACTATAAATGCTTAGTATGCAGCCTATGGTTTCCATTTAATATCTGGGATTAGCTAGTTTGAATTATGATCATCTGACCAATCTTGGTTTTAAAACAATTTAAAGAAACTTGCTGCTTATAAGTAGATTATTTTCTTAGCCTCAGGTAGAAAGAGGACATAACGTTCTCCTCAATTATATAATAGTGAAAGTGAAGGTCGTTCAGTCGTGTCCAACTCTTTGTGACCCCACAGACTATACAGTCCATGGAATTCTCTAGGCCCAAATACTGGAGTGGGTAGCCTATCCCCTCTCAGGGGATCTTCCCAACCCAGGGATCAAACCCAGGTCTACCACACTGCATGCAGATTCTTTACTAGGTGAGCCACAAGGAATAAATGCTTGATATTTTATTATTTAAAAGTAACTTTTTATACCTCATCACACTATTGTCAGAAAAGTGAACGCTTGGCCAGTGTTGCACTCTTCTTATGTGACATTGCCCATCACACTACTTGGGAGAGTCAGAAGCTCTTTCTGACTCCTCATGCTGCTTTTGCTCAAAGCCCTTCAAAGGCTTCAAGCTCTAACCATGACCTACCAGGACCCCACCTGATCTGGCCCCCGTTTATGTCTCTGACTTCCCTTCCACAATTCTCTCCTTTGATCACTGTACTCCAGCCATGTTGATCTCCTGACTTTTCTTGAAACACGCCAGGTACAGTCAGACCTCAGCACTTTTCCCTCTGCTTGGAATTCTCCCCAGATAATCTCATCATTAGTTCCTTTTCTTTCCCCCCCAAAGTGACATTCTTAGAGCAGTCTTCCAACTTTACTTCTTTTTACCAAACTCTGGTCCTGCTGCTTGTCACTCAAAGACCAATACTCATGAGAGCAAAAGTTGGTAGACAAGAAAATTGCTTTTAAACAGAATGATGGCAATCTAGGGAGATGGTGACTCAGTGTCCCCCCAAAGCCACCCCTGAAGATGTGTCTCAGCCATGAAAGATTTAAAGGGAAAAGGGGGATGTAATCTCAGTTGGTCATTGAGATGGGGGTCAGTGTCATCATTCCCCACTAAGTGCAGGCTTGTTGACAGCGAGATTTTTTTTTTTTTTAATGCTATCTTATTCACACAGCTTGTTCTTGAGATTACTGAAGGGGAAGCTAGGGAAGAGATCTGGTCATTTGTTAATTACTTATTCTTCATGTCTACTTCTTTAATCTTTGGAAAGAAGCAACAGATTAGGCAAGGTATTATGTGATCAAAAGAGGTGAAGGGCTTCCCTGGTGGTCCAGTGGTTAAGACTATGCGGGGGGTGAGGGTTCGATCCTTAGTCAGGGAGCTAAGATCCCACATGTCATGCAGAGCACCAAAATTTAAAAAAAAAATGTAAAAGAAAATAGATTTGTAGGGTATGCGTAGGCTAGAGATGAGTAGAGCATGGGGCAGGGGCTGCTTCAAGGATAGTGACAAGACAAAGGGGCCTCCTGTAAGGACTCTTTCCTGCTTTACACTCTCGAAAATTACAACACCCTCCCCTTCTAAGAAAACACACTTAGTACTATTTCCCTTATTATATGCCTCTCTTTAACATAGAATAACTTTCTCATTTATCTTATTTATTTTCTAGATTTATTTACTAGTTACTAGAATGTTATCTTCATGAAGGCAGAAATTTGTCTATGTTTTGTTCATTCTTATGATAACCTAGAATGATAGCCTGCATATAATAAGTGCTAAAAAATGTGTTGAATGAATAAACATATGAAACTCCCTTGATATTCTCTGGAATCCTGTTAAATATTCACCATCAAGAACTTTCATAGTTGAGTCACATATACACAGGCAGCTTTTAGTATTATAGAAGCTTAAGAGGCTCACATTTATATTTTCAATTCAATTCCTTCACTGGGAAATGTTGCTTTTTATTATACTGTAGGGGGTTTATACATTAGTATTATAAGACAAATACTATTATTAAGAATAACACTGAAACCCAAAATTTAGTCCAATGAAAATATCTCTATGCTCTGACCAATGGCCCATGGTAATAGTACTTTTTGGTCTTGTTATACTGAAGTTTTCTCATATATATATGTATGTAATATGTATATGTAATGTCAGCACAATCAGTGTTCTTTTACCAGTTCTGTGATAATGAAAACATAGAACACCTGGCTGTGTGACGTAGCATGAACTGGAAAAGAAATATAACACAGGTGTGCTAGCTAGTGTAGCACAAGAAAGGAGTAAACTAAGATTCTTCTAAAAAAAAATTACAGTGGATTGTAATTGACCCAATTCTTTGGAGACTAAGAAAAACCAAAAGGCAAATGTCAAAGAGGAAAGAGGATTGGCTTCTGCAAGAGCACATTTCTGCCTTGGTCTGCATGCTTGGGCAACTTTAATGAACCACCTCATCTTTGAGGGAATTTGGCTCCTGCTTTGTTTTATGCCCAGCCCTTGACCTTAGGGGAATGACCTAGAAGTACTGGCAATGAGATTTCGAATGATGTTGATTACAGTACATTCCAGTCCAGTAAAAGATCTCATACTTTCCTTCAAGTTCAACATGATGGGATTTGACCTATAATATTTTTACAGATAGCCATAATTGAGCACCAAGGGGACATGTGACTTGCACAGCAGGACTAGTTTTCTCTGATTATCAGATCCTTGACAGTTGAAATTACTTTCATTTTCTAATACTCAAGTGCCCCCCAGGCAAATCAACCTCCCCTCCCACTACCAAACTCCCCCAACCCTCCCAGAAGGGTTCCCTGGGCCCCAAGGCTCCCTGCGCCCTCCATTTGTTTGTCAGCCCCTGAGCTATGGAAAAAACATTTCTAAATGGTGTCTTATCCAGGTCACCTATAAATGTCACTCTATTTTCCATATCTGGGAGCACAGGCATGTAGCAACAATTGTAACAGCTGTGATATTCTTATTGTTTCCTTTGTTACCAATTCACACAGCATTTGTGATTTTATTGAAGGGATTTAGCCAAATCATAAATCCTAAACTAGTCAATAGAAATGGTGACAAGTTAATAAAATGATCACATGGGTTTAAGATCTGTACATGGCTGATTTCAATTTTTACTCTGGATCCTCAACAACCCCAAATTTGATGTCTCTGACTAAACCTTCTTGGCCATCATTCAGATTCTACCCCAGTCCTCAAAACATAGCTTTTGACTTTCACTCCTTTCCATCTAGAGGGATGAATTTCTTCCACTTCATTCCTCACTTTACTTTTTTACTTAACTACTTAAATATCCCCCTCTAAGCAAATATGTTATAATAAATTTCAAATGAAATTAAGCATAGATTTACTGTGTAAAATATATAATAGCCAAAAAAGGAAAAAAAGAGTTGTTATTTCTATCATTCAGAGATGGCCACAGATAATTTTTGGAAGATATACATATATATGGAACATTAATTACATATATGTACTGATA